ATAAATTAAATCCGTGGCCCTGGGCTGCCATCCAGACTCTATTTAAATAAAATACATACATTATATATATCAAAAAAAAGATAAACTAAACAATTTTTTTATTTTATTCAATTTATTTAATTTCGCCACATAAGGCCAGAGAAATTAAATAAATTCAATAAATTAAAAAGAGTATTTAATTTATTTACTATATGTATTTTATCTAATTTATTTACATAGACTCTGGACGGCAGCCCAGGGCCACGGATTTAATTTATTCAATTTATTTCATTTCTCTGGCCTCACATGGAGAGATTAAATAAATTAAACAAATTGAATCCGTGGCCCTGGGCGGCCGTCCAGACTCTGTTTAAATAAATTAAAATGAATGAAATATATCAAATACATTAAATACATTAATAATCTATTTAACTGTTTTAATTTATTTAGTTTCTCTGGCCTTACCTGGAGAAATTAAATAAGTTAAATAGATTATTTAACTTATTTAATTTATTCAATATACTCATACACATACCTACACCTACCTACATACATGCACATACATACACATAGACCTACACAGATACATACACATATACATACATACATACATACATACATACATACATACACCTACCTACATACGTGCATACATACACACCTACATGCCTACATACATATTTACATAGATACATACGTACATGCATACATACATACATACATACATGCACATGTGTGTATATATATATGTGTATATATATTTATGGTACCCCTCCCCCCCCCTCACCCCCGAAGATATACCTTTTTTGGGGTGTGGTTCAGCGTCGCGATTATTTCAACATGTTTGCGGGGGGAACAAGGCTTTGGAGGCTTAGGGAAGGATGGGGCAGGTGTTCTGCACTTTTAGCATGAGAACTCCCTAGACGAGGACGAAGGCCTTTTATTCAGTTGAAAAGTTGAAAAAGCCCCTTATTCAATTTAATAAGGAGAATGCTTGGATACAAGACTAAATATTGAAGATGCTCAGGAAAACTTATTCCAGGAATCTTCTATCCATTGGAACCCTTGATTCAATTGAATACGGGGCGTCTCCAATGGAATCAAGAGGGAATGCTTGGATAGAAGATTGAAGATTGAAGATGCTCAGGAAAACTTCTTCTAGGAATCTTCTATGCATGGAAACCTTTTTTCTGTTATTCCATTTTGAATAGGGGGGATGCCTGGAGAGAAAAAAATCGTGGGCATCCTCAATCTTCAATCTTCTATCCATTGGAACCCTGTATTCAATTGAATAAGGGGCTTATTCAATTGAATAAGGGGAGAGAGAATTCAAGCCACAGGCATAGCCACGCAGATTTGCTGAGACACGCCACCCAAACTTAGCCGACCATTTCGTACCATGTAGTCCCCCATTCTGTCATCGCGACGTGGCGAACCCCGGATTTCGAATGGAAGGCAATGTCATCTTCGCTAATGGGGGAGAACTTTTGCACCTTGCTCCAGCCAATGAACGCCGCAATGATCCCCCTCATGCTGATGGCCTATCGCAGCCTCAAGTCGAAGACATATGCAACCGCACCCGCAATGGAGAGCTCGAGGTGCATCATACGCTACTACCACTAGACAAAGGTGTATGGGACGTTTGGTCAACAATGTCGCTCACGCACATTCTCTTCCGAATGGGCTACAGGGCCATGGACTAGGCGCGCCTACTCTTTCTCCTTGCGCAGCCCAAGCGTGGATGGGACGAAGTCAAGGCCAACAAGGCCTTCAAGGATGAAGCCGACTCGCCCATCAACGCTGTCGAGAATGGCGAGAACCCGCCCGACAACGGCATGGAGGATGAAGGGAGCCCACACATGCCTTCCCCCATCATCATGGACGACCCGTCCTTGCCTGTGGATGATATCTCTGGACCTTCCTCTACAGAACGCATGGATAACGCGCCAAGATGTTCCTCCACGGAACCCATGGATAACATGCCAGGACTGTCGTCCACGGAGCCCGAGGATAACATGCCATGACCTTCGTCTACGGAGCCCATGGATAATGTACCACAAGCTCACGAGACGCCCTTGCGATAGTCTGACCGGTATCAATTTTCTCCATGGCGCAGGGAGTGAGCGCGTTTCCTTCTGCAGGCACTTCAGATGAGCAGGTCGCAGAAGCTCCAGAAGCACCGCTCGAGGAGGAAGACCCCAATGAGGAAGCAGCCAGGGCAATGCACTCGTGATCTTGGCGTCCATTGGCTGCTGTGAGTGATTCTTGGTGTTAGACGTTGTAGCTTCTTGCAGACATAGCCCGTAACTGCTTCAGTTTTGGAATGCCTCAGCGCCGGCTCTGCCAAAATGCTCGGTGGCTTCTTGAGCTTGCGCGCACCTGCAGCTTTGTCACGAAGCCACTGTCCTGTGATCTGATAGCGTGTGATTTGTGGCATTGCAGCATCTAGCCTTGGCCGAGCAGCCGTAGAACCAGTGTGTGTCGCCCAGCGCCCTGCGCATACTCATGAAGGCTCTGGCGAAAAAGCCGGCCTGTTCCTTTCCCAGTCCAAAGAAAGGCAAGCTGAGGACATTCCTCAATGAAAAATTGACTTAAGAAACCCGCTTCGTATATCACTGCGGCTAAGACCTGGCAAGCGGTTCCGTATGTGCGGAGCGGTGGGTCGGCCCCCAAAGCGGGCCGCTTCACGTGGAAAAGAACCTTCAGTGAGAAGGAAGCGGTAGATGTACTCACCCGGGACGGGCTCTGGTTACTTTGGAAGGTGCTACTTGTCCTGTCTGTTCCACAGGAAAGGTAGGCCCCTTGACGATGAGAGCAGGAGAACTTCCTCGCTGTCGTTGTAGACGTAAGCAGTGCCAAAGATTCATCACCCCGCAGCACGCTCACCCTTTGTTCACTGCCACGCGTGGTCCAGAGGGTCATTCGCTCGGTGTCCAGGCCGGTGTCCTCCTTCTCCGCAGCTCCATCCAGTTGGTGATGCAGGTGAACCACAAGGCCATTGAGTGCTTGGAGCCTGTGTGGACAGCATTCAGCGCGCAATGACTTTGGGTGGCCACAAGCAGTAGTGGCAAGATGTGGAGGTGGATGAATCTGCCTTCGACAAGAAGCTGATTCCCATCGAGGAGGCAGACTGCGCGGACAAGAGCATGGTCTGGAGCAATGGGTGGGGATGGTGCAGCGAGGTAAAGCCCAGTCCTTGGTTCTTATCGTCGCCTGCGCTACTTGCCTGCGCCTGTAATTACGCTCGGGATGTGAACATATCTGCTTGCGTTGCATTTTTTAACTAAACATCCAAGGCAAACCAAGTCTCGTTCTCCGGGCCCGGGTCCAATCGCCACAAGCGCATGGAAATCAATCGCTCAGAAGTGGTTGAAGGACAAGAACGTTGTTCTCCACTCAGACAACATGAAGGCGTACAAACTGAAAACTCCAGGGGTTGTCCATGGATCTGTCGTTCACAGGAAGAAGAAGAAGAAGCGGGTGAAAGCCGGAGGCAAGTGGGCTTGGCCGGCGACCACATATGTCAAGCTGAAGAAGATCTTGCCCAGAAGAAGGTCCCTGAAGGTGAAGGTGGAAGGTGGACACCAAGGTGATGGACAGGGCATGGAGGTTCAATAAAACTCGCTTGACAGTGAATCAGAATGCCAAGACCGGTTCTGCCATGATCATGGCCAAGGTTCGATCCGCCCAGTATGAGTACCGGAAGCATGGAGTTTCACGGGAGGCGATTCCCTGTAAAACCATGTCGGAACTTCTGAAAGCAGGCCGCATCCAGTATGTATCTCTTTTGGCTGTCATCGATCAAAAAATACGACGCTTTTGCGCCACCCGCGTGCACAGCATGTCTTCTATGCGTCATAAGTCATGTTGCTGTCTGAAATTTTTCCCTGTCAACTTATTCCACCTGCTATCTACAATTTGTCATCTTTCCACATCCGCAAAACATGTTCAGTGTGTCACGATTATGTTGACTTCTCAACAGAACACGCCTAATGCAAACTCATCCGGCATCAACAGTCAGATTACTCATAATGCAGGTAGTTAGGTAGGCACTAATCCAAATAGGATGTGTAGCCATCAGCAAGGTGAATCTTTGGCGGGAAGCATATATATATATATATACATATATATATATATGTGAGAGGGACCTTGGGCCATTTCACGATCGAACCTTCTCTATAGAAACTGGAACTAATTCAGATTTTATTTTTTTTAATTCATGTAATTTCTCCATGTGAGGCCAGAGAAATTAAATAAAATAAATCCGTGGCCCTGGGCTGCCATCCAGACTCTATTTAAATTCATTAAATAAACTAAATATGTTAAATAGATTAAATAATCTGTTTATTTTATTTAATTTATTTAATTTCTCTGGCCTCACCTGGAGAAATTAAGTAAATTAAATCAATTAAATACATTTTCTAACTTATTTAATGTATTTAATAGATTTAATTTATGCAATTTATTTAAATAGAGTCATGATGGCAGCCCAGGGCCACGGATTTAGTTTATTTAATTTGTTTAATTTCTCCATGTGAGGCCAGAGAAATTAAATAAATTAAATCAGTGGCCCTGGGCTGCCATCCAGAGTCTATGTATGTATGTCTGTCTGTCTGTCTGTCTGTATGTATGTATGTATGTATGTATGTTTGTATGTATATATGTATGTATATACCACCATAACAGAAAATCAGATGGAAAAAGCAAAGCTGGAAATTGACATGGAAGCTACTAGTACCTGGCCGCTTTTGGGCCCAATAACAACAAAAGCAATGTCATCAATAATGCAATAATGCATGAATTCTTCACCCACAAACGCCAACTTGCTACTCCTGATCCGTAAACCTCTTAGATGTTCAACCCTGAAACCTCAAAAGCCAACAAACTTAAATTCACGAAACAGGAATATACTCAACAACGGAGCGCGAACACATTAAACTCGTAGCCCTGAATGCTTGAACCCCGGAACCCCGAAGTTCCAACGCAAAATCCTACAGACCGAAACAAGAATCTTTGTGATTTTAGAGGCCCTGGCTGGCATGGTGCGAAGACATGCTCTGGATGGGGTACCTCCACAAACAAAGGCAGGAATTAAGAGTTGCCATTTAGGCTGTCAGATATTTTACTTTACAAAGAGTCTGTATCATGAGTAGGGGTACAAGTTCAGGGCAGAAGGTTTGGAGCCCCAGGATCCTGATCCTGGGAACCTCCAAATCGAAGTCTTAGCGTGCTTCCTCCATTCCACATCAATCCGCGATTACATGAACTGGAGTCTAAAAATGCTCGAACGAGGTTATCTAGCGGACTATGTAGGGGACTATTATATATTATGTATGTGAAAGTGTGTGCTAGAAGCACCCGCGAGGTGAAAATTAGCCGCAAGACAGTCCATTTGAAGTCTGGGAATCTTGCGACCTGACCTCTGGGCTCTGCCACACCAAAACGAAAAGCTCAGCATCATGTCGAAAGGGACCAGGGGCCCACATGTGGTGATGGGTTTTCTGTATTCAGATCATGAGTATGGTATGTGGCACCTGAAACCATCACACTCGGACAATTGGACCCCTGGGTATGTAGAAGCTGCAGGAGCTTTCATTTTCATCTGTGTGACGTGCTCAGAAACTTTCCAGCCTGATCCCTTACACGTTGACAAAATTCCGGCCTTTGTCAGCCCTGTATCACCCCCCGTAAGAATACTGTATTTCTGTATAACCCCGAAAGCCTGTACCCTAAGCCCTAAGCAGCCCTAATCCAGAAACCGAAACAACGGAACCTTAAACCCTAAACTCAGAAACCTAGACCCAAGGACCCCAAACCCCATATCCTGGACAAAGGGGATCCATAGGAGCTATAGCCTAAACTCCTAGTATCCCCCTTAGAAAATCCTCTAGTCGTCCCCTTATGAAAGTCCCTATACAATGCCCTTTAAGGAGCTTAGACCCTAAAACCTAAACCTCTATATCCCCATATAACCCTATATGATCCCCATATACCCCTATATAACGCACTATATAAAACCCCCTTGATGGCGTTTAGACTATAGCTGACATTAAGCCCTAATCCCTATACACTGTCGTATAATCCTAATTTCCATTTCATGATCCATTGTCTTTTCCATTTGATTCTCCATGATCGGGGGATAATGTACCCTAAACAAGAAACCCTAGATAACCCCATTATAGTAGTTTCCAATGTATTTTCCATTATCCTGGTATAACCCATTATTATAGTAGTATACCCTAAATACCATAGTAATCAAAAACTTATCATATCAACCCCACACCCTTAAACCCTAAACCCTAAACCCTAAGCCCTAAACCCTAAACCCTAGACCCTAAGCCCTAAGCCCTAAACCCTAAGCCCTAAACCCTAAACCTTAAACCCCTAGTAGACTATAGATCATATGATTTCCCTTTGGAGCACCCAGTAACGCTCCATGGCTCGACGAGATTCCTCTCAATCTGAGGACTTGCTACATTTTTGCGGTTTAGGGTTTAGGGGTTTAGGGGCTCAATCTAAGGACTTCTTACTTTTGGGGGTGTAGAGGTTTAGGGTTTAGGGGTTTAGGGGTTTAGAGTTTAGGGGTTTAGGGTTTAGGGCTTCGGGGTTAAGGTTTGTAGGGTATAGGATTCAGGGTTTAGGATTTAGAGGCTAAGGGTTTTAGGTATTCAGGAATTGGGGTTCAGCGTTTAGGACATGAGGTTTTAGGCCATTTGGGTCCCAATCTTTTGGCTTCTGGGTTTCGGCTTTGAAGGTTTAGTCCGCAGGGGTTAGACTTGGAGAGAATTGTGAGATTCTTCTGGGAATTCTTGCCAGGGTTGCAGTAAGCCTTTTATCCAAATCTCTGGGGGCAGCTTCAGTGTTAGAATGTACTTGGAGGGTCAGGAGGACTTAGTACGTACATTAATAACCCCTATACACCATATGGCTTGGGGTTGACAAACAGAAGGCCCACGGTGCCAGAAGGATCTAAACCCGAAACCCTGAACCCTACATCCTAAATCCTCACGGTGTGCGAAAGCCATACAGGTAGCAAGATGTAGCAAGGATTCCTGTCCAAGCTGAAAACAGGTCTGCATAAACAAATAATTGAGATGCGTTTTGCGCGAGATGCGTTTTGCGCTCACATGGATTCATGGCATATGAATGTTTTGGGGGCAGTTTACAGTCTATTCGCAGAAGGTTCTTGGACACCTGTTGCATCATGTTGCATCATGGACCCCCTGTACATACGTGCAACGCGCAACACATGTTCTTGGAGCTTCATTGGCAAATCTCAGTCGAGTAGCCACAAGTACACCAGTACATTTCTCTTCTACTCGGCTAGAACCCTAAACCCTAAACCCTAAACCCTAAACCCTACACACTTCAAGCAGACCCCCCCCCTGTCCTTGTAGAATCTCAGAGCAACACTTGGCTGCAAAGCATGGCTCAACCCAGCAATGTGGAAGCGATGGTTTTGTGCAAGTTGTTGGCTATCTGGAGATATGCTGTGATGGGGCATCTACATGCTTAACACATGGTTTGGGGATGGGCTATAATATAGACATACACCAGGAGTAACCCTGGAGCTCCAAATCGCACCATGTAGGTGATCTTGGGAGACTTTTTGTCCGAGGTAGGTACTCTTCACAGCTGTGGACCTAGAGCCGTAGGGTAAGAGAGAATGGCTCCGTTGGGGGTTCGACTCCAACACGCAACTCGCAGTTTCAGCTTCAGGGTTTGTTTGGGTGCTTCATTGGGTTTAATTAGACGGTCAATCGCAGGTATAAGCTGAGCCACAAAAAAGATACTCATAACCTTATAGCCGCACTTATGTCTCTGCATGAACCTCCAGGTATGGTCAAAGGATGGTGAATCGGGTCGTTTTCGGCAGTGTGCTGTCTTCACGATGGCCGCTGTATCTGACAAGCCCAAACGGCTGATGCAGATAACTTGAGCAAGAAAATCCCCTTAGGGTTCAAGGTATACAGTCTGGGGTTTAGAAACACAACAACTGGTTCCTTGTTGGCATACTATTACAGCTTATGACTTCAGATTCCCTGTTAGGTTCTACTACAATACACCTCTTACGAAGAACAAACACCCAACAGTGACCCAGGCACGACTGTGGCAAGTCATTGAAATCTTTGAGAAGACGGACCCATCATCCAGCTGGAAAGGGTCTTGAACCTAGTAGTGCACCAAGAAGCTCTAACCAGAACTTCGCACTTTGCCGGTCCCAAAGGGTCCATGTAGCTATATGGTATACACTTGGGCCTTAAAGTAGGTATATGGGAACCCCTTTGGGCCCTATGTATATACCATATACCTACATGGACCCTTTGGGGTTTTTTTTTCGATATGCTAGCAGATCCCATAACACTCCTGTCGTTGACTTGAACTGTGGCTCATGCTGTGACTACAGCAGCCTAGCACCTTGGCGAGCTTGGCTGACGATAGAATATGGGGATAATGGAAAAGAAAATGGAAACTACAGAGACTATAGGGGTTATATAGGGGTTCTATGGGGATTATAGAGGGGTTATATGAGGATGTTATAGAGGTTATATGAGCCATAGTCTAAACTCCTAGTATCCCTTTAATAACCCCTATAGTAGTCCCCTATATAATCCCCT